CCACCACACACACACACACACACACACACACACACACACACACACACGCGCGCGCACACACACACGCACACACACGCACACACGCATGCATGCGCACACACACGTGTGTGCACGCACGCTGTGTGCACAGAGAAAACAATAACAGTCCAACAGAAAGGAGTGAGCAGTTCTAAGGCGAGCCCACAGAAAGAACAAATGACTCTTGAGTGATGAGAAGCTGCTGGACCTCATTTGTCAACTGAGAAAGGCAGAGGAAGATTGCCCGGAGATGCCATTTGCCTGTCCCTTGTCCAGTCAGGTTTGTCGACCTCTCTTGAAGCTGGGAGAAAAAAGCCACTCTTATAATGAAGACCAGGGGATATCAGTATGAACCAGTGGAGGGCAATTTATGCAAATCCTGAAGGATCTTTGTATATAGGCAAGTAGTTTCCAGAACAACCTAACTATCCAGCAAGAGCGGACTAGTTCAACAAGTTTCCTATGATAATAATACAAAATACAATGAAAAACAAAACTAAAACTCTCTATAGACTGATAAAATCTTATAAGCCAAGTGGTGGTGGTGCATGCCTTTAATTCCAGCACTCGGGAGGCAGAAGCAAGCCCATTTCTGAGTTCAAGGCCAGGCTACAGAGTGAGTTCCAGGACAGCCAGAGTCATATAGTGAAATCTTACCTTGAAAAACAAACAAACAACAAAAACTTAATAATACATTGAAATGAAAACAAAAAGAAATACCCATGAGCAAAAAGGAAAAAGAAGGGGCTGGAGAGATGGCTCAGTGGTTAAGGGTGCTGGCTGCTCTTCCAGAGGTCCTGAGTTCAATTCCCAGCACCCACATGGCAGCTCAAAACTGTCTGTAACTCCAAGATCCGACACCCTCCCACAGGCATACATGCAGACAAAACACCAATGCATATAAAATAAAAATAATTTTTTTTTAAAAAAAAGAAAAAGTGGGTGGTTATTTTTGCACATGCACACATAAGGACTTCTGGTTAGTGCCTTCTATGTAAGACTGACAACCAAGTTCCTCTCCTCGGTGGCACAGGCCTGTGTCAGAGAAGGATAGGCCACAGTGCAGGCTGCAGGGAGACTCAGAGCTGTGTACAAAGAGCAGGGCCTGGGCACCATGTTGAGTGCTCTGGAGGCCACTGGAGCCTCTCCACTCGGCCGCCCAGGTCTCTCCATCCTAGACCGTGCTCTGCGCTCTCTGCTCTGAATTCCCAGGACCACTCCCCTCTCCCTCCTGTGGGTGGTTTTTTTTTTTTTTACATTATCTCTTATTCATTAGGTCCTACTTTTAGCTAAGGCAAAAGGATCTGGAGACTGGGACTAAATGTCAGTCTTGCCTCAGGCAATGACTGAAAAAATCCTATTTGTTCTCTGCACCTCAGGTTTCTCCCGTGCCGAGTGAGTAGGAGCTGACTCAGATCCTTTTTGTTGTTTGGTTTTTGCCGTCTCACTATGTAGACCAGGCTGTCTTGGAACGCAGGATCTTCCTGCCTCAGCCTCTCAAGTGCTTGGATTATATAGCATGCGCTACCACACATGCGAGCCCCAGATCAACTTGAAAGCTCTTGGCAATTTTACTTTTTTATGTGGATCTGTGTCTACCTTAGGATATATCTGTGCTATGATATAGGCAACTCCTCTACCCGAGCCACAGCCCTGCGGTTTAGTATACATGTAAATGCAATGTATCTCCCCCAAAATCTTTAAGTAAACTTGATTCTGTAGAAACTTAATTCATTTTTATCCTGAGAGGGGGCTTGAGGTCCTTTCAGGCCCTAGCCAGTGTGCTGGGCTCTGGACTACTATTCCCCATGAGCCTACACAGAATGCTTCTTCCTTTCTTATTTTGAGACAGGGTTTCTCTGTGTAGCTCTGGCTGTCCTGGAATTAGCTCTGTAGACCAGGTTGATCTTGAACTGACAGAGATCTGCCTGCCTCTGCCTCCCAAGTGCTGGGATTAAAGGCGTGCACCACCACCGCCTGGCTAGCTGCTTGTACTTTTTTTTTTTTTCAAAGAGATTCTGGAAATGGAGTCTTATCACCAAGAGTGATTTCTAACGGCTGATGGGGAGGAGGGGATGAAGTGGAGCACACTGGCAGTGACAAGCAGCTCACACAGGCAGGCTCTCGGCTGATCTAGGAAACAACTCCATCACCCAGACCCCAGCCTTCTCCTTGGAACCCATTAGCTTCCTTTCAGACTCCCTCGACGGTTGGAAAGCAAACCAAGCTTCCCTTTACAATCATGAGACAGGCCCCAGGGACCCGGTCTCAGATGTCAGATCCAGGGACAGAGCCAGATAGTCAGACTCACTTACCATGGAGCCCAGCAGAAGCTCTCTACAGTCCGGGACACTGAGCTCTGGAGCAGGGTGGGGCTCTGTGTCCATCGCAAAGCCCTTGGGCACCTTGAAGGGGACACCATCAAGGGCGTTCATCCTGCCAGAGAATGGTGGAGCTGTCTCAGAAGACCGATGGCAGGGAGAGGGTGTAGAGTCCTCAGAACGAGCCTCAGGCCACACTCTCCTGTGTGGAGGGCCCCACAGCTGGAAGGAAAAGAAGAAGTGGCCAGTGCTGTACAGGGAAGAAATGAGTAGAACCCAGAGCATCCATATTGACTGTTTCATGTCCAAGTCATGAGTTACCAGGCATGTCCCAGCTGTGCCCACAGGCTGCATGCACCCCCAAGATAGCTATAAATAAAGCCCAATACAAAACTATAAACTTACTTAAAACATTGTAAAATGTTTTTTCAATTATTTTCCTGTGCCATTCTCCTGCAAGTTATCCTCTGACCTCCACCCACATGATATGCTGCATATGCATATCACACACATACACACACACACACACACACACACACACACACACACACACACAATAAATAAATAAATGCAGTATTTTTTAAAGAACAAAATAAAGTGGAGGAATTATATAACTGCACAGCTCCATAGACTCAGGATGCCCTGGAGCTGGAGTTACAAGTGGTTTGACCATAAGCTGCCTGACATGGGTGCTAGGAACAGAACTCTGGTCCTCTTAAAGTAGGAAGTGTTCTTACCACACAGCGATCTCTCAGGCTGAGCTGCGTTCTTTTTTCTGGAGTGCAGGGAGGTCCAAACCCAGAGCTTTGCTTTCCTAAGCAAGCAACCCTCTCTTTATTAATTCTAAGAAACATGGGGCTAGGATACTATCTAATGGGACAGCGTTTGCCTGATCTTCATGAGGCTTTGGGCTTGATACCCAGAGCAACAAAAACAAACCTCCCAACAAAAACAAAACCCACAAAAAAAAAAAGCCTTAAGTCATAGCAGTTTAGGACTAAAAGGCAACTTCCTCAACCTAGTGAAGAATATCCCCAACCATCTACAGCAAACACCCTGTTCAAAGTGAGATAGTGAACGATGTCCTCAAGGCTGTGGCAAACAGGGTGTCAGAGCACTTTGTCTTCTGTCCCATGTGGACCAGATAGTAGCTTGTGCAAGAAGGGAAGAAAACTAATACACATACAGATTGGAAAGGAAGGAAACAACCATTTTGGTAGATCACAGTTACAGGAGAAAACTCCAAAAGAATCTATGAACAAGCTCTTCGAATTCTTAACACAGTTTAGAAAGGACACTGGCTACGCAGTCACCATACAAAGTAAATTGCATCCTTATACGTGAACAATAAACCATGTAAAAGAATTTTTTAATTTAAGATTGAATTTTTAAAAATAGAGCATTGGTATTTATTGCTATTACATACACCACAAGGACTTAATCTAACACAGTATGTGCAAGACCTCTATATAGAAAACGAAAAGCTATTAGATTAAATGGAGGAACATACCCTGCTGGAAGATAATAAAATTCTCTACAAACTGATTTGTAGATCCCAAAGATCATAATTCTATCACATTTTTTGGCGTAAATTGGCATGCTAATTCTAAAATTAAATGGGTTACAAAGAACCAAGAAAATCTAGGGCAATTGTTTTTTAATGTGTATGTGCATCTACATGAATGTAAATGATATGTACGCAGGTTCCCACAGAGGTAAGAGTGTTATGAGCTGCTCAACATGGGGTTTGGAGTCTAACCTTGGGCCTCTGTAAGCATAGGAAGTGGTCTTAGCCACTGAGCCATCTCCCTAGTCCCAGTGCAATCTTAAAAAACAAAACAACAAAAACAAAGTGAGAAAGGAGAAAGAGGGGAGACAGGCAGAGAGAGACACAGAGAGAGACAGACTACCAGAGATTGCCTTTAATCTAGCACTTGGAGGCAGAAGCAGGAGAATCTGTGTGTGTGTAAGGTCAGCCTGGTCCACTTATTGAGGTCCAAGCCAGTCAGGGCTACATAGTGAGACCCTTTCCCCCAAACTAGAGAAAACAAACAATAAAACCCCCCAAACAACAAGGCAGCAAACAGAAAGAAATGTGTGGTGGTGAGACAGGGGCCTTCAAACAGACCAGAATGGAAATAATCCAGAGACAGCCATACAATACAGGCCCTTAATTAACGACCATTTGCTCTGCAGAAGAGTGGAAAAGACCACTCAGTAAATGTTCTGGATCAACCCGATATCCATCTGGAGGGAAGAATGAAGCAATCTTGGGTCTGAAGGTATAGCACAGTGGTAGCACACTTGCTTAGTTTAAATGAACCTTAGAACTGGAAAAACTTAACCTCTACTTCACATCATACCTAAATTCAATCCTACAATTCTAGATGTAAAATAGCAAAGATAAAAAAAAACAAAGCTTGGGGTTGGGGATTTAGCTCAGTGGCAGAGCGCTTGCCTAGCAAGCACAAGGCCCTGGGTTCCGTCCTCAGCTCCGGAAAACAAACAAACAAACAAACAAACAAACAAACAAACAAACAAACAAACAAAAGCTTTAGCACACACCTTTAATCCCAGAACTAGAGGCAGGCAGAGGGAGGCAAAACTCTGAGTTCAAGGCTAGCCTGGTCTACAGAGCAAGTTTCAGGCTAGCCAGGGCTACACAGAGAAACGGTCTCTAAAAACCAAAACAAACAACAGTAAAAAAACAAAACAAAACAAAAAAAACCCAAACAAACAACTCATACACCTATGTGTGTATACATACATACATACATACATACATATATACATATATGATAAGAGTATGCACTCATATTTAATTTTATGAGTGTTTTACCTGCCTGTGTGTTGTGCATGTGTGTGTGCCTAGTGCGTTTCAACACTAGAAGAGGACATCAGATGCCCTGGAACTGGAGTTACAATTGTAAACCACCATGTGGGTGCTGAGAACTAAACCCGGGTTCCTTGAAAGAGCAGCAAGTGTTCATAACAGGTGAGTCATCTCTCTAGCCCCAAACAAACACTTCTACTTGTTTGTAAGGTGTTCATTTTTATAAAACTGGTCTCAAATCAGTGTGCAGGTGAGCCTTTGGATGCTTCAACATCTCCACCCATTCCCAGGAAGACCAAAGCCTTCATAATCTCAAGTTGGGGGAATAAAAAAGGGGAGCACAATGACTATTATAAAAACAAAAATCAAGTGCAGGCGACTGTCTCGAGAGTCCATCATGCTGCCGGTGCTACCACCAGGGTTGTACAAGGACTGCATTTCCCAAATGGCCATGCAATGGTTTGGGCGTCAAAGGTTTTGAACATGACCTGGGTCATCTTTTCATGGTTGCTCTTAGAGTTTAGGGGAGCCTCAGAGAGCAGTGTGGGGTACTCCTCGGGGGCCACACACACCTCATTGTAGAAGGCACGGCTAGATCATCTCCATGTGGCCCCGTTTGGTAGCAATAAAAATGCCTTGCTCCATGGGATACTTCAGGGTCAGGATGCTTTTCTTGCTCTGGCCTTCAACACCCACATATGAGTCCTTTTGGCTCAAGTCCACCATCACACCCTGGCAGCTCAAGATGGAGGTATAGACTTCTGGGGGAGTATGGTTGCTGGTGAAGCTGATTTTACAAATGTAGCCATGACATCACCCATGGAGAACTGGGTGACTGGGGTGGACTGGCAGTGGAGGACTCTGAGGTCTGTGCTCTCAGGGCAGACATGGACTCCCAAGATGAAGGTCTTAGAGAAGTCTACAAAAGACTCGTGTTGCAGAGCTGGTCTTGGTGGCACAGGTCTCTAATCCTAGCTACTTAGAACACTGAGGTAGAGGATCACAAGTTCAATGCCTACCTGGGCTGCAGAATGAGTTTAAGTCTAGCCTGGGCAATTTAGTGAGACTCTGTTTTAACATAAAAGTAAAGAGGGTGGGCTATAGAGCTCAGTGGTACGATACTTATGTAGCGGGCAGGAGGTCCTCAGTTAATCCCCAGTATCACATTATATAGATACACACAAAGAAAAAAAGGCTAACCATGAAGAAAATACTGATAAATGGGATTAAAGTTAGAAGTCTTAGTCATCAGAGTTTAACGACAACCACAGAATGGGAGATGATATTTGCAAAATATCTCCTAACAAAGGACTCATATTCAGCCTATACAATGAACTTCTACAAACAATAGGAAGTTTTAAAATGTCATTAGGAGGATATCCAAATGGCCAATAGATATAGGATGTAATATTTAACCTCTTTAGTCATTGGGTATAGAAACAAACAGTGACCCACACATCAGTCATGAATAGCTCAAATTAAGGCCTGGCCATGACACGCTGTTGAAGATGTGAACGTCTGTAACTCTCATGCACTGTTGGGAAGGATGTCAATCAGGACTGGCCCGGTATCTACCAAGACTGAAATTCTACAACTAAAAATGCATCTTCATATCACTTGTCTTTTACACAGGGTTTAATAATGAGTTCACTGTCTTTGGAAAACAAAATAAAACTCTTTCACATAGAATTCAAGCTCACAACTACCTATAACGTAAACTAAATTCCTATCACATCCCGGCAGTTTAGTAACAGTCAGGAGCCAGGACCAGGGTATGCCTCTGGCCCCAAACAATCGGTCAGCCCTGGCAGGGTGACACAAAGCCCTGCTGTTTGGGGTCACTGTGTGGTCATCCTGTTCCCAATAGGACAGGCTCACGTAGAGATGTTGGGTGACTAATCTGGGAGCAGACAGGTCAAGTGAAGGCAGGTGGCCAAAGCCCTTAATTCCCTCATCTCCTCCCCAGTCTATTTCTTCTCATCACGGTGTCTTCCAGCCTTTCGTCTCTTCCTGCCTGAATCCATGTCACTGCATGTCAGTGAGTGGCTACTTATGCCCCTCTATGGGCAAGATCAGAAGAGTCTTGGGGGAAAATCTGCCTTGTCGGCTCATTTTTACTGGATACCTGTGAGGCCTAAGGATGTTACAGGAGACTCAGGAAAGCTAAGCAGGTTTTAACATCCTCAGATTTATCTTTCAGTCACAGCTACCCTTGAATTATAGAGAAGGAAAAGCCCAGATCCTATTGAAGCTCCAGAATAAATTCTTGTCCACTTGAGATACAGACATAACAATCCCTCTTCCCATCTTCCACTCGACATCTGCATCCTTAATGATTGTTTTCTGCACAGCCTTGAACTGGCTTCTAATTTGGAGAGTCTGAGGGTCTCTTTCTGAAGAACAGCAAAGGCCACAGTGGATTGGAGCTAGTTATAACACCCTAAAATGCATCGGGGGAGTGCCTCCAGAAGAGGCAGCCTAGTCCTCATGGGACTTAGGAAAGCGTTAGGAAATATATGGGGTTTAACTTGGGTATCAAAGGGTAGAAGGATGGATTGTGAGCAGAAAAATGATCAAAGAGCAGGCATCCAGAGAAGAAACAGTGGCAGACAGACAGCAGATACAGGAATCTGCAGGGTGGGGTGAGAGGGTCACAAGTGAATGAACAGTATGTACACTCCGAAGTAAGATTCATGGTAGATTAGGGTCCTGCTTGGGAGGATTTTAAATATTTTTATATTTGTTTATTTACTTATTTATTTAGAGTGTGTGTGTGTGTGTGTGTGTGTGTGTGTGTGTGTGTGTGTGTGTGTTTCCTGAGGTCAGAGGAAGGTATTGGATGAATCTCCTGAACTGGAGCTACAGACTTTTGTGAGCTGCCATATAGGTGCTGGGAATTGAACCTGGGTTCTTTGGAACAGCAGTGAGTCCTCTTAACCACGGAGCCATCTCTCCAGCCCCAAGGGCTTTAAGTTTTGAGCTGAGTTCTGACTCCAATCAGCAGGTGGCAGACAAAGCCCTGAGGTGCTGGGATGGGGTGGGGTATACAAGGAAAGCAAGGATGTACTTCAACAAACTATATAATCCAGACTTCTCAATTCCCAGCTCATGTGCCCATTGGGCAAATCTAAGTATGGGGCTGGAGACTGGAGAAAGCTGTAGTGACTGGCCTAGGTGGGGGCCTAGCAAGGAATGACTCCCCACTGTACTCTACATGACTTCATCCTTGCTTAGAGCTTCGATTACCTGCCAACAATTCCCACCTTCTCCATGTCTCCTCTGAGATCAAACTCATGAACACCTGCCTACAAGGCACCTCCCAAGAAGCTTAGAGTGCCTCTAATTTAACACACACAAAGTGAAGTTCACCTTTCTTCCCCCAAATTCCTCCCCAGAGGTCTCTGTCTCAGGTATAATGAGCTGTTGCAGGGTGCTAACACTCACTCGACACTTTCCTTTACCACCTCCCATCTCAAGTCCTCTGCCAAGTTTAAGAGTCTGCCTGTGGCACCTCCATGGCTAACACGGGAACCCAAGCTGGTTTCAGTGTTACCTCACTGAGCAGCTCACCTGTTGAACTTCTCTTGTGCTACTATTGCATTTTTGTTCTACACACAGAAGTGTGATCATTTCAAACTACAAAATTAAGCCACCATTCTTCCTCTTTCCATAGTTCTCAGGTGCTTTCCAAATAAAAATTAAAATTCTAAAGGCTTGCAATAGCTAAACTCTGTGTGTGTGTGTGTGTGTGTGTGTGTGTGTGTGTGTGTGTGTGTGTGTGTTGTCTTTTTGAGACAGTTGAGACAGGGTTTCTCTAGGTAGACCTGGCTGCCCTGGAACTTGCTCTGTAGGTCAGGCTGGCCTTGAATTTACAGGAATCTGCCTGCTTCTTCCTTTGAAGTGCTGGGATTAAAGGAATACACCACCACACCCAGCACTAGGCTGATTCTTACCCACGTAACTCCAGACAGAGTAGCCATGGTCCCTTGACCCCATAGCACCTCTGCAGAACTACTCCTGATTCTGCCTGTGTTTTTCTCTCTTCTCAACAATTAAAAACTTTTTTCCCCAGAGCTGAAACATCACCTGCTCAAAGCAGCTTTCTCCAAGAGCAGCTTTCAGCAATCTTTCCTAATCACTTTTTGAGCCAGTTTTGAGTCCCCAGACTGTCCTTGAATTTCTAAACAGCAGAGGATGGCCTTCAACTTCTGATCTTCCTGCCTTTACCTCCTAAGTGTGGAATCTGGTTTTATAGGGTGCTGGGGACTGAAGCCAGGGTTTCATGCATGCTAGGTAAGCATGTGCCAATTAAACTACATTCCCAGCTCCCTCCTCCTTTTACTCTGACCCTTAGTGTACGCTGGGAACCAGGACACACATGTAGATGGAACAGTGACTTACTCTTACTACATGACACTTTAGATAATCTCACTTAAATGTGTTATCTGTCTGAAGTCAGTTTCTACTTTGTGATCTCATAGAGCTCTCTAAATACTCAGAACAGTTTTGGATTGTTGTATTAACGGCCATCTTCCTTTTAACCTGTGTTCTCTGTGGGGTTATAGGATATTTCTCAGCATCCACGAGCACTTTGTATGAAACATCTGGGCAATGAAAATACAGATGTGTTAGTAGCACCATCACAGTGACAACGAAGAACTCTTCCAGTGCAGCTACGGTATCAGTGAAAACTAGTCTAGATGGAGAAAGATGGAGAAAGCTTTCACAAAGTTTTTACTTCTCTCAACACCAGGAAAGCAGGAATTCTGTTCACCCCTTTTTATGCTCTTAGCACCTAAGTTACAATACCTGGAAAATGGAAAACCAAAAGCCATCTCCCAAAGGATACAGCTCTAATCCTCGCTTTCTCATCCTCACAGGAACCAATAAAGCTGAAACTACCTACTGATGTGCGGTCATACAAGGCAAACACCACACTACCTGCCTCGAACGCCTCAATTTTTGATTCAGAGATTATGAGAAAACAAGCTTATTCCAAAGCCAAATGGAATTTGCTTTGGAAACAAAATCTTCAGCAGCAGCCAGGTGTGGCAATCAGGAACTTCTATGTAGATTTATACAAAAGTACACAGCTCGTTCAAGTTAACTCACAAGGTAAAGCAGCTGAAAGAAGCATTTTTAAATGTATGGTTAAAAAAAGAAGCTAACTGAAAATAAGACACAGTTTGTACTTACCTTGTAATCTCCAGGAGAGCTTCCCTGTGGACAGACTATGAAGACATGAACAGTACAACAGATGGTGTAATCCCAGCTAAGCTTTTTTAAAAGTCACATGGACATGGAAACATAAAGAGTTTTAGAGAGATTAAGCTGGCTGGCTTGTTGCAGCAAATTCTCAGACAGCAGACTCCACTAAATACTTAGTATTTAACATACAATGACTCTTTCCGCTCATGGCTTGTGTTTACCTAATTCCTTAAAAACTTGTGTTAGTCTCTTACAAGTTCTGGTTTGGGGATGTGTGTATTTTTTTTTTCCATATAGAATATAATTAATCTGGGCCCGGAGCAGAGGCTCAGTGGTTAAAAGTACTGGCTGCTCTTCCAGAGGACCTGGGTTTGATCCCCAGCATCCATATGGTGGCTCAGAACTATCTCTAACTCCAATCCCAAGGGACTGGACTCTCTTCTGGCCTGTGGGCACCAGGCATGCATGAAGTGCAAACACATACATGCAGGCATAACACCCATTAACATAAAATATTAAGAAATATTTTTAAGAAAGAATATGATAAATCAACAATTAGTTAACTTTCTGATTTATCTTTGAATTTTATTTCATTTTATTAAACATTGATGTTGAATATATGTAGAATTTAGGTAAAAGTGAAAAATAAAAAAAAATGAATTGGCAAAGGTAAACAGAATTATAGATCTAAATTCTGCTGATTGAAAAGACTAAGATGACGGGAGGTGGTGGCACATGCCTTCAATCCCAGCACTTGGGAGGCAGAGGCAGGCGGATCTCTGTGAGTTCGAGGCCAGCCTGGTCTAGTGAGTTCCAGGACAGGTTCCCAAGCTACACAGAGAAACCCTGTCTTGAAAAACTAAAAAAAAAAAAAAGAGAGAAAGAAAGGAAGGAAGGAAGGAAGGAAGGAAGGAAGGAAGGAAGGAAGGAAGGAAGGAAGGGAGGGAGGGAAGGAAGAAAAAAAACCCTAAGAAATGACTAATGGCAGCTGCTGCTACAGCTCACAGGCAGGCAATATACCAGGAAACTTAGCAAACGAAAAACGAACAAAAATAACACTCTCTTTATAAGAGCCTTGCCGACACCAAATATAGATCAGGAGTAGCTTTTCTCCACTCAGAGTTCAACGCCTCCTTTTCTGGGTCAGTTGCTGAACCTCCCTAGTTCCTGCCCATCGACGCTGGTATCCATGGTGACAGGGCCATACTGTCACAACTCATACAATCCATTGCTGCTCTTCCTGCAGCTCATCTCAGAGCAGGAAGTGAAGAGCTCAAAGGAAAAGGTACACAGGCCTGTCGGTCAGGGGAAGCTAACTGTATCAGACCTTAAAACTCATAAGCTCGGACACACTGGGAAAAAACAGCCCGTTCCCTAGCTGTCCGGTATAAAGCAGTTCTGTTCCCTAGACGTACAGTAGAATGCACAACTGAGCAATATATATTAAACTACAACAAGGGACAAGGGTGTTAGTATGTCACACCTAAGGGCTCCCAATTCCACCTCATTTCCAAAGTTGATGGTGATCTTTCTTGCTATCCAGAGTCAGATTTTACAGTCCAAGTTTTGCATTTACAATCATTTTTCTGCAGCAAACACCTGTTTATTAAATTTGGAGTGAAATGCTTTAGCAATGTGAAGATGAAATGTGTTAAATGATTCAAGAGAGGATAAATCAGGGGCAAAGGCTCAAACGAAAAGTGAAAAATGGTATTTATTTAGCTTTTAGGAAATTAAATAACAAAACCCAGAATAAAGCAAAACAAAAACCATAACATGTCATATGACTGATCATGTCCAAGCACAATAGCTCTTATTAATGAATATAAAAAATAAAATTTACCATTCATATTTGCTCTTTTCCCAACTTTTACTATATGGATATTTTTGGAAGCTTGAGCTAAGGGGGGGGGAAATCCCAGAGCCACCCCAGTCCCTACCATGTGACTGAGATTACGGTCCCATAGGGAAACACGTTTCTATTCCTGGAGACCCCACAGCTAGATCCCTCGGAACTCTATAGACTGGCGCTTTCACGAGGAACACAAGCACTGTCTGTCAGAGCACGAGCCGACCTGGTCTGGCCCTTGGGTTTTCTAAGCTCTCCACAGGACAGACACCAGTTCTAAGCCATCAGCATTCCTGGCAGCCCAGTCTACAGCCACTGCCAGGGTCCTCAGGAGCAGCCTCCCAACTGCACCAGACTGGGGTTAACAGAACTGTAGGTCAAACTCTGACCTGCACTCCTGGGAGCTGGAGGGCAGTTGGAATGGGAGACCAGGAGTAGGGTGCTACCTCTCCTCAGTGAACACCTTCAAGCAGTAACCAAGTGCTGACCGTACTTACCCACCAAAATACAACAAACTACAGCAAATAGCAGGCCACATCAGACCAAGCCCCTCAAAACAGAGGCAGATTTACTGAATGAAGGCCACTGCCGTGCTAATAACCTCAGTTCATCTAGGCCCTTTCCTGATGAAGCTTAGTATCTCCTGCTAAAGAGGCACGCTGGCCAGGGCAGGGCACAGAAGGAAGCAGACTTCCAGCCAGGAAGGACAACGCCGCATGGAGCTGAAGGTGTGCAGAAGACCACAGCAGGGATGACAGCATCGTAGCATCTAGAGCTGTAGTGCTCGCCTGTGGGACCACGCTCCCGGAGCCTCTTAATGCAGCTTAACAGCCGTTGCCCAGATGTCATTGCTGGGGATCGGGGGAAGGACCCATCCTTGGGGAACGGAGTTGCCTTTAGGATGATCAGACGGCACCAGGTACTGATCCCAATCATGCCTTAATAAGAACATTACAGAACAATGTTTATTTCTGGTTTTCCCCAAGCAAGATATTCAGAAACTATATTTCATATCTAGGATACTGTTTTCAAATGACATATGTACTAACCTGCTACAAAACTGGGTTTCTAGGAAGTATGCCTAGGGTCACATTAGTGTACACATTTAAGGAAAAACTTAAAAGTTTTTAAACTCTGTAAACAGCCAAACAGTGACTGTACAGTTGACACTTATCATTTGCAGAATCTATATTTCTAATTTCTCTCTCTCTCTCTGAGACAGGGCTGGGCTGAGGCTGGCCTTGAACTCCTTATCCACCTGTCTCTACCTCCTAAGTGTTAGGGCTACAGGCATGAGCCACCACACTTGGGTATATTAACAAATTTAAATCACCCCATGTGGCATTTTCATGGACAACCACAAATGCAGAGAAAGAAAAAAAAAAATCTGTCACATTCTGCTTTCATCTCTTCCGGCTTTATGGTACAAATCAGTGTCCTTTTCGTGGCCTGCTCTGTGACATGTGGTCAGTATTGTGTTTCTAGATTATAGACAGTTAGCCCTGATGTGATGCTTATAATCAACAGCATACATTAAATTATTGTCTTCAAACAGACACATGAAACAAGGTGGTGATCAGCTAATAAAAAAAAGTAAGACAAGGGCTGGAGAGATGGTTCAGCCGTAAGAACACTGGCTGCTCTTCCAGAGGACCAAGGTTTGACCTCCAGCACCCACATGGGAGCTCACGACTGTCTGTAACTCCAGTTCCATAGAATCTGGTGCCTTCTTCTGGCCTCCACAGACAGCAGGCACACATATTGTACAGACATACATTCAGGCAAAATACTCAATCACATAAAATTAAAAAAAAAAGTCAAGACAGGAAGCTCAGCTGTCTCCTTTAGGAGCAATGTCCAGTATTCTGTGACTCAATATTCACAGTAACTTGAGTACACACCCTGTCATCAATAATAGATTTAAAGGCTAAAACTGTGTATCAAAGTTAAAACTCTTCCTGAAAAATAAATTTGATATGCCAGAAAATTGCTTCCCAAGACTGAGAAATTACTGGAGTTTTGGTAGGAACTTCAGTTACTTTCAAGCTGTTCTTTGAGACCCCTAGGTCCTAAGATGTTTTAGCCTAGAGACAACAAAATGCTTCTAGTTTATACTGCCTGGGACATCAATCATTTACTTCATTTTACCTACTGACTACTCAAAAGACTGCATGTGGGCAAGAAGCTTTTCTCAAAAGAGAATGAAGAAAACAAGGCCAGCTATGGTGATGCAGGCCTTTAATCCAGCACTGAGGAGGTGGTGGCAAGTGGATCTCTGAGTTCAAGGACAGCCTGGTCTACAGCCAAGTTTCTTAACCTGTTCAAATGGAGATACTGACTTCCAAGAATTAATGAGGACTTTTAAGATACAAGCGGCACCCTTGAAATTCGCCAACACTACACACTCAAAAGGACCTTTTAAAAAAAAGATGCAGCAACAGACCTCAACAGTGGAAGCATTTCATCAAGAGCCTGCTGCTACCCAAGACAAAGGGACACAAGAGGCTGCCTTCTGACCTTATCTGAATGAGCGCAGGCAGGGAGTGCTCGGCCTGGAGGTAATACTGGCGGAATGGCTGTAAGAGGTGAGCAAGTGGGAAGTCATCTGAAAGAGAAAGGCACACATGTCACCCTGCTTGCTGTTCAGAGTGCCCGATTATGACAACAGGCTAACTTCATCTCTCGGGAACCCTGACCTCTACCATGCAGCTGAGAAGCTCAACTTGTAGTCAGGGCTGCCTTTCAGCTCAAGATGGGTTTCTCACAATAAAAGAACCATCAACTTAGATCTTTCCTCCATCTGCACTGGCAAGGGTAAACTTACCCGGATCTCCAAATAACTTGGACTCAATTTCTCGCTTCTGAAGTAAAAGTCTCTCTCTTTCTTTTCTCTGTTTCTTTTCTAATTCTCTTTTCCTCTCTTCCTCCTGTTCTCCTTCCAGCATAACTCGGAGGGCTCTCTCTTCAGCTTCATACAGTTCAGAGCGCTTTTTAATGAGTTTTCTCAGCCGCTGAAGATGGTTCTCAAAAGTCTCATCCGCTGAGGCAGGAGGACAGACCCCTGTGCAAAAAGAAGTAAATGGAGGTTCCTTTGCCTGTCCATTCCTAGGCAGTAAAAGAAGAGCAAGAGGATCGATCACCTAGGCAGCACCTGCCTTGTGTTTACACACACACTCCTAAGATAGCAGGGCACCACTGAGAAAACTGATGACCACCTCTCACTTTCCAGGAGAGGCAGGTCTGCACCTTCTCCATCTGACCTATTTTGGTTTCTTTACTGATCCTTACTTTGGCGTCCTCTGGAAGTTTGTCTTTTGGCCCTCATATCACTCTATAATCTCAAGGTCATTGCAACTCATGCTACTTGCTACTCATGTGTGTTGGGAGGGTTGTGTACACACATACACACACACACACACACACACCCCAGAGGAGGACATTAGCTGTCCTGTTCTATCACTCTTTGCCTTGTTCCCCTGAAACAGGGTCTCTCACTGAACCTGGAGCTAGGTTGGCACCTAGCAGCCCCCGCCATCCTCCTGAGTACAACCCTGCACTGGGACAAAGGCATGTGTAACTACATCTGTGTAGACCCTAAGTTCCTTAAACTTGACCGGTCAACTCAAGACTGTCCTCCCTGTTTCTGTCTCAGTAGGCGTAGCATCATCCTTTGTGCAGCAGACCAGGTTAGAACCCTGAAATCACCATAAAACAAACAAAGAAAAGGGAGAGGTGTTTGGTTCTGTAAGAGAGCTGCAAACTTCAGCAACTTTTAACCTTGCCTCTTACATACAACTGCCCTGAAAGAACCCGTGAGAGCATAGGTTCTGAATACACTGGAGGCTGACTTGTAGAAAGCAATCCGTTAGTGAAGGAGTCTGGCTCAATGCACAGCAGTTACACCCCAATAAAACCTCATTAAGGATCTAAAAGTTCTGTTCATAATATTTTTTCCTTTATCTAATTTTTTTTTTTTTTTTTTTTTTTTTTTTTTTTTTTTTTTTTTTGAGATAGGGTTTTTCTGTGTAGTCTTGGCTGTCCTGGAACTCACTCTGTAGACCAGGCTGGCCTCGAACTCATAGAGATCCACCTGACTCTGCCTCCCAAGTACTGGGATTAAAGGTGTGCGCCACCACCACCTGGCATCTAAACTTTTTTATTTTATGAGTAAGTACAGACACATTCATGTCATGGCATGCATGTAAAGGTCACAGAATAACTTTCAAGAGTTGATGGTTCCCCCTTTCTATAGTGGGGCCCAAGGTTCAAATTCAGGGCTTCAGGCTTGCCCAGCAAATGCTTCTTTCTCCTGAGTCATCTTGCTGGTCCTGGTGTCCTATTTTAAACCACACAGGGGAAACTATTAGTCAGACTGGCATTTGGTAACTTGTACATGTTGTGATGCAATTTCCTACGGGAGTAAAACACACCACCTGTCACTCTAATTCCAGGATATCGGCACCCTCTTCTGACCTCCATGGGCATTTACACACACATCATGCATACAGACAGTCACACAAACACAATATTAAAAACAGATTAAAAACAACAACAACAACAAAAAAACCAAATTTCTGAGCTACTGCTGTCAAGACCAGTTACTCTAAAGAGTACAAATAACTAAGTACCAAATATTCTTCCTCCAAAAATATTTGCAAGAAAAGCACAGAGGCCCAGGCCACCTCTGTTGTGACCTCTACAACAGAGAAGCTGAGGAGGACAACTGTCACAAGTTCAAAGCCAGCATGAGCTGCAGAGCTGAGATTCTATCTACAAGAAACAAAGACAGGGAAAGGTAGAAAGGAAAACACTCCCACCATGTTATGTGTACGACAACTGGATGGGGAGGAACTAAGACGGAGGAGGAGGAAGAGGGGGGAAAAGGAGAAATGCAGACTGTCCTTGCCTTTCCTTGCTGCGGCTTCTTTCCTCAGTTTCCTCAGTTTCTCTAAAGCACGCAGAATGTCCACCATTCTTTTAGTGTCCGATTGTTTTTTCCTTACTTCAGACAAGACCCCATCAGCAGCGGCTTTGAGTTCCTGCTCCTGAAGGGAAAAAGAGCCACAAGAACTTGTATTAGGAACCTCCTCACAGCAGATTAGCTCTCCCTGGAGGCAAGCTTCCAGAGAATCAGGCTGTCCACAACAGACCACCGAGTCTATGTTTCTATTTCCCAGGCCTAGCATGCTACACTGGTTCAGTCAAGGGCTTCTCTTCCTGGTTAACTAGACAACCATGTTGCCGCTCTGTTTGCTGAGACTGCCCCCACCCCCACGGAACCCAGGCTGGCTCTGACTGAACTCCGTCTTCTTACCTCAGCCTCCCACTGACGTGATCCACCTCTCCCAGATGATCACACAGCCTTCCCTTTTTGGTTTTGTTTTATTTCTAAGAGATGGTCTTACTCTGTCGCCCAGACTGGCTTCAAACTACAGCATCCACCTGCCTCAGCCTCCAGGTGCTGAGATCACAGATGTGAGCCACCACACCCAGCTCCAAAGAACCTTCTTAGAGGGGACCCTCTCCTCTCAGCAGCTTCAATACCTGCACTGAGTTCTTGTCTCTCAGTGTTTCCAGGTGTGGTCCAGGAGTGCCTGCATCCAATTTACTTTGTCAGGCTAAAGTTCTATTAAAAATGCAGATTAAGAGACCTGATTAATCAGCTCCCAAGGAGGACAAGAAATGGATCTGGAAAAGCCTAGGACTCTACAATGTCTCAGAGTAACACTAAGTTTGTCCTCCTCTGCTCCCAAAGATCCCAGAGATGGCTTCCACAATCGTCTCTCACACACTGGGGGGCCAGTCTTCCTGGGATCTGTTTTCCATATCATCATCTGCTCGCCTAGTTCTCTCCCATCTGTCAAGGGAGTGTCTGCAATCCCCCCACCACAGCCAGTGACGACGCTTCTCCACTCTCCTGCCTGGAAAACCGCAGCCGTCTGTAGCTGTTGCTTCACTTTAGCACTGCTTCTAAGGCTCAGCTCAGAGTCATTCCGTTATCTCGGGGCCTCCTCCAATGAACCAGACATTCCCCCTGGGCTCCTTCTACTACCTGTACTGACATGATCCCCTCAAGGCTCTAAGCAATCAAAGAAAAGCTACATTTTATTCCTCTCTAGCCCTGCTATCAGACACTAGGCCCAATACCTAATGGGCCCTTACGAAATGTTTGCTGAAGTGACTCTAATTTCATCAGATTAAAGTATTGCCTCCCTAGTGCTGACATTCCTGAGGGTACAATGCTAAAGTTTGCTATCAATATACTTCCCAGCAATGCTATACTGGTCTCTAGGACAGTGGTAGACACAGGGAAAAGGGAGATTGTACTGGCTAATTTCATGTCAACTTAACACGAGCTAGCTAGAGTCCTTTGGGAAGAGGGACACTCAATTGAGTGTCCAATTGTGGGTGGTACTACTGCTGTGGAATAATCTTTCTGTATATTGTGAATATGTATTACTTTCATTGGTTAATAAAAAGCTAACAGGCTGGTAGCTGGGCAGGAAGTTAGGTGGGAAAGCCAAATTGAGAATGATGGGAAGGAGGGCAGAGTCAGGAGAGACAGCAGCCAGTTGCTGGGCCAGCAGGACATATAAAAATGAGGTAACAAGCCATGAGCCCTGTGGCAAAGCATAAAGAGAAACATGGGTTAATTTAAGCGTAAGAGTTAGCTTGTAACAAGCCTGAGCTATCGACTGAGTATAATTCATATTCATCCTCTGAGTCAGTTATTTGGGACTGGGCTGTCGGTACAGGAAATTTCTGCCTATATGCTACCCATGGGCAGGTAGTCCTGGGATATATAAGAAGGCAGGCTGACCAAGCCCTGGAGAGTAAGCCAGTAAGCAACACTTCACGGTTTCTGCATCAGCTCTTGCCTCCAGGTTCCAGCCCTGTTTGAGTTCCTGTTCTGACTGCCTTTAATGATGGACTAGGGATGTAGAAGTGTAAGTGAAATAAACACTTTCCTCCCCAAGTAGCTGTTGGTAATGCATTTCATCACAGCAATAGAAATCCTAACTAAGACAAAAGTGTTAGCTGATTGTGGAGAGTAGAGAGGCAAAAGAACCCTTAGCACTGTCCCAACAAGACCCCAACAATGACACCAATAGACATGTTAGCATGGAATCGGGAAAGCTCCCAAAGCCTCCACCCTAGACAACTGCAGGCAACTGGGGGATGCTCAGAGCAAGAGAAATGGTCTTCCCCAAGGACTAACAGCTCAATTCATTACCAATACCACGTGGTCAGCCCTGAAATCATACACATACAAGTACCATTAAATGTACCGGTCAGGTTGTATTTATGTATACATGTAACAATAAGTAAAGAGAGAGGCCATGAATTTGAAAGAGAACAAGGGAGGTGCATGGGAGAGGCTGGAGGGAATAAACGGAAAAAGGGAAATGATGTAATTATATTTTCAAAACTAAAATATATATTCTAAAAAAGCAGCAGTGGGGCTGAGGAGATAGCTCAGCAGTTAGGAGCACTGGCTACTCTTACAGAGGACCAAGGTTCAGTTCTCAGCACCCATACAGTGGTTCACAACCATCTGTAACTCCAGTTCCGGGGGATCCAATGTCCTCCACTGACCTCCATGAGCACTAGGCACACATGCAGTGCACGTACATACATGCAGACAAAACACTCATATAAAAATGAATAAATCTTGCCGGGCGGTGGTGGCGCACGCCTTTAATCCCAGCACTTGGGAGGCAGAGCCAGGCGGATCTCTGTGAGTTCGAGGCCAGCCTGGTCTACCAAGTGAGCTCCAGGAAAGGCGCAAAGCTACACAGAGAAACCCTGTCTCGAAAAAAACCAAAAAAATAAAAATAAAAAAAAAATAAAAAAAAAAATGAATAAATCTAAAATAATAACAATAACAACAGCATTCAAAGGTAATGAGGATGCCTTCAGCCAACACTTGGTTCCACTGGCTCCACTGAAGAACATAAGATAGATAAGCTCTGAAAGCAGACAACCTAGACTTACATCTGATGTAATATTGGTACAAACTTGTGTGACTGTTGTCAAGTTAACTGTTTTAAGTCGCAATCTATAAAATTAGGTAATGAATTTCTCAGGGTTGTATGTAGGACATTAGTGTGGTGTCCACTATAGATGTGAGTGCTGGACTGGGGAAGGCAAGCTAGAAAACAGGGTAGCAACCAGGGACACCAATGTATTTGGGTTATGCACACTCTCCTCTTACAATAAATAATGCCCCTGGCAGCCAAGCTCCTTTGCCTCTCCAAACAATGCACCTAGCAACCTCAGGCCTCCATCTTTACATATACTCCTCCTCACTAAACAGAGGAATAGGTTTCTTCTCCCCTAATGACCATTGAACTTGGACAGTTTCTATTCAAACATATTCCTAATACATCCTACCAGGAGGGCCCATCCAGCTGGAACTGGTTTTTGGTGCATGCACAGTAAGGAAAAAGTTAAAGCTGTGTCCAAGTAAACTTTTAGAGTAACCTACTTACCAGCTTATGCCTATACACATGCCAAGTGCTCATGATTAAAATCAAATGCATCACGGGGAGGCACATATAGTAGAAAAGATCACAGGGCCTAATCTCTCAATCAAAATAGAGAACCATCTTCATTTGACACATTAGTAACCAAGTTCCTCCTCTAGAACCCTACAAAAGAAAGTGCCAAGAAACAGCCGGAGACTTTTGAGTATCTTCTCTCGTGTGGACCTTGTGGCTGCCAATCTTGACAGTGTATTCCTTCTAATCTGTACTTATTATTGCTTTTTTCTTTTTGAATAAAGTTTTCTTACTATTTTTGCAATTTTGTGTGAACCCTTATTTCAATCATTTGAATAAGAAGTATCTGGAAACACCTGGACAAGACAGACTCATACCACCCAATACACACAGATTCACAGTTTCAAACTAATAAACACATGAATCCTGGGGGAAACTATTATTAATCTCACCAGCTAATTGGGCTATAAAGGTCTCGAGGTGTGGCCCAAGTCCTCTAAATTTGCATGCTTAGGATACTATAAAACATAGTGCGGAGGCCAGTTAGTATTGAACATCAGTAAGTGGATCCAAATTGAAGCAGGGGACAGGAGGTGTGCCCTCTCAGAAATGTATCAGCGCGAACCTGTCATGTGTTTACGGGACTTCATAGTGTACGTTCTTGTGTACCATACATCCTCAAAACAGAACACAGAACAAAGAGGTGGTAAAGGCTAGCTTTCACGGATAAGCATCCAAGTAAACCAGCACGCAGATTCAGGTTCCAGTCACCACCGCTCCAACTGCATAGGAGTTCTCACCCGCTTCTTTTCCTCCACTTCCTGCACGCATTTCACCCTCCAGCGGTCAATCTCCTGCTCCCGTTCCGTGGCCTGCGCGGCCTCCGCCTCCCGCTCAGCCTCGCGTTCCCGGGCCCTCTCACGAAGCCGCAACCGGCGGCGCCGGACCCTCTCCAGCCTCCGTCGCGCCTCGCCCACATAGGCGGCCTGGGCCAGCGGCTGCAGCCGCTCGGCTAGCTCCGCTCGCAATGGCTCGGCCTGAGCGTGCAGCGAGGCCCAGGCCGCTCCGTCGGCCTCGGCTTCGCGCAGGGACTGCCCCAGGCTGCGTAGCCGCCGCACTAGGCGCAAAGCGGCGCGCAATCGCGCGCGCACCTCGCCCAGGCTAGGCCCGACGGGTGTGCGCGGGGGCCC